TAATAAGCAGTTCTCCCCTCAATAACACTTGTAAAAATAATTGAGGAAAGCAATGGCTGTTCTCAGAGGGAGATGCCAAGTTCAAGCCTAATTATACCACTTTTGTTTGTAATTGAAGGTATATTAAGTAGTGGCATTTTCGTTTGGAAGCCATATAATTTTCTGTGTAGAAAGGCAGGACCAACATTTCTCAGGCAGGTAATATCTGAAGGTTTCACTTCAGTCTCTCCTCTGACAACCCTGTCATCAGAGCTGCTCTCTGTGAGTGAAGAATTCCAACCTCAATCCCAAGTGGGAAAGAAAAGGAAATATCACTGCAGCTCAAACAACAGGTTCATTGCTTTACAAGGATTCTCCCCTGAATGCTTAAGTATAACAGGAGTCATAAGAACTGTATACTCAGGACCCAAAAGTTCTCTAAAAAAGAGAAATATCTTTGAAAGAAGGAGAGCATCATAGAGTCTCATGAAATATTTTGAGAGCAGGACTTTTATGCTACAACTCTACAGGGAGATATTATTTGGAAGGCTATTAAAATTGTAGGTCATACTAGGGTAATAGAGACATATCTTGTTGTTGTTTAGTCACTCAGTCATGTCCCACTCTTTGCGACCCTGTGGACTGTAGTCTGTTAGGCTCCTCTGTTCATGGGATTTCCCAGGCAAGAATGCTGGAATGGGTTACCATTCCCTTCTAGAGAATCTTCCCAACCCAGGATAGAACCTGCATCTCCTGCATTGCAGGCAGACTCTTTACCAATGAACCACCAGGGAAGCCCTGATATATCTTAGAATGGAACATTTATTTTTTTAGTTCATTATGAAGTCTGTAGGTATATGAAGGCAAAAATACATTTTTTCCCACTGGGGGGGTTAAAATTTATAATTTCGTAGACATTTATATTAACAAAAAATAATAAAGGTTTGCTTCTATGTAACTTTTGGTGTGATGAAGACATTTTTTAATGCTCTATAACAAGCAGTACTAATACCAGTCATTTAAGGCTGTCTAGGGTATTCTGTTTAATACAAGTAAAAAAACAAATCAGATAAGTGTATTTTTTTTTCCCTTATAGCCTATACTTCTAGAAATTTTCCTGTCAATTATATAAATAAAAACAAAATTCTGTTCCACATATCAGAATAGCATTGTTTTAAGTGAGAGGTTTGACAAGTTAGTTCTAAATATATTTTAAAATCTTGATGCTTGTTTTCAGCTTACAGTGAGATAGTATCTATGTGCTTTGCCACCAACCTTATTTACTTTCCAAGAACCAGAATATTTTATTGTAATGTTTACATCTTATATATAGCACAAAAGATCACCATAGGTGTATGAAAATTCTTATCTGATAAAAGCTATGTAGCTGTTTTTAATGATTTTATCAACTTGATAAAATATATCCTCTCACAGCTAATAACTGCCCTGCCTTAAGGTGATTCCTTCCTAATAAAACCTATAGCAGTAGTAGTAGTGTTATTAGCTCAGTTGTGTCTGACTCTTTGTGACCCCAGGGACTGTAACCACCAGGCTCCTCTGTCCATGAGATTCTCCAGGCAAGAATACTGGAGTGGGTTGTCATTCCCTTCTCCAGAGGATCTTCCTGACCCAGGGATTGAACCTGGGCCTCCTGCATTGCAGGCAGATTCTTTACCATCTGAGCTACAGCGAAGTCCAATAAAACATATAGTTCAAAATAAAAAAAACCTTATGTAATTCATAGCATGACTTCCAGCTTTAGATTCTACAACCAAACTTATGAAAATAATATTCAGGAGCCTGTTATGATTTGCAGAGTTTCTGCACTGGAAGAAACTTGGTGACATCATGTCTAACTGTGTATCCAGATGTGGGGCACAGTGAGGCCTTTCGAGGTTGGGTGTCTTGGCCAAAGGTACGCAGCCCCTTTGAGGGGAAGCTGTGACTCAACCATGGGGCTTCTGAGTCTCAGTTCAGTGTTGATTGCACCTTACCACCCTGATTGGTTTTATAGTAGAAGTACATGATGAGCAGCATCCTTAGAAAGAAGATGCCAAAGGACTCCTGTGGTATAGTGAAACACCCTCTTGTAGCGTTGAGTTTGGGGGTACCTTTTATAGGTTGTCAGTCAAAATCTTGCTTAAAGTACTTTTTGTGGTTGAGGGATAGTTGTCACAGAGGGCCCTCTCTCAGAGGCTGCCACACCCTCGTTAGGGTAAGCTGCAGTGATGCTCCAGACAGCCTTTGATTTCATTCATGAAAAAAGGTCAGAGTTCAGGTTCAGGAAATGAAAGATAATTTGTTCTTGTTTAGTCACTAGTCATGTCTGGCTCTTTGTGACCCCATGGACTGTAACCCACCAGGCTCCTCTGTCCATGGGATTTCCCAGGCAAGAATACTGGAATGGGGTACCATTTCTTCCTCCAAGGAATCTTCCTGGCCCAGGGATCAAACCCAAGCCTCTTGCATTGCAAGTGTATTCTTTACCATTGTGGCTTCCCTAGTGCTTCAGATGGTAAAGAATCTGAATACAATTCATTGGGTTGCAAAGAGTCGGAAATGAATGAGCGACTAACACTTTCATTTTGCTTACCACTGACCCACTGGGAAGCCCGAAAGACAAGTAGGCATGCCTTTTTTCCACAGCATCTATAATATTGTACTGATTGTCCTTAAACATTTCTTGCATTTATTCCAATGTTGAAACATGCTAGAAGTTTCTACTTCCCAATTCTAAAAGTTATTAATTGATACGTTAAGGGATCTATTAGAAATGCAAGTCTTTAAGCCTATCACCATTATTAAGAAATGTAAGACACAAATGCTTTAGTGGGGAGTAGGGAGAAATTTGGGTGCCCCTGGTGGCTCAACAGTAAAGAATCCACCTGCAGTGCAGGAGCCACAGAAGAGGCAAATTTGATCCCTGGGTCAGGAAGATTCCCTGGAGGAAGGCATGGAAACCCACCCCAGTATTCTTGCCTGCAGAATCCCATGGACAGAGGAGCCTGGCGGGCTACTGTCCATAGGGTCGCAAAGAGTCGGACATAAATGAAGTGACTTAGCACGCAGGCATGCCGGGAGAAATTTAGTATCAAAAACTCCAAAATTACTAAGGATAGTAAATCAATACTACCAAAAAGAGATCCTGAGAATCTGGAATATAATACTCTTTCAAGATCAAGAGAAGAAAAAACGAACTCTTCAGTTAATAATATTGTCATAAAACATGCTGTACATAGAGGAATAGGAGGCAAAATTTAGTGCTCAAAAGTCACCTTTAAAATCTTGATACATGCAATCAGTTTTTCTTACAGAAACAAAAAGTTTTTCTGAGTCAAAGTATGCAGATAACCCACAGAAGTGTAACAAGAGGTCATACTGATGATTCTTGATTTCTGTTAAAGGTTAAGTCAGAATGTTCCCTCTTCCTTTAGTGGAATAAATTAACAGTGATCATTACAGCAGGGCATTGCAATTCTATTTGGAGTTTTTCAGTTTACACGTATTTTTCAAAAACTGTCATTTCGTACTCTGTCTTCCAAGCTCAGAGAATGGAATGTCCTACCACTGTTCCCTTCCAAGCTTGGACTGTGTGCCCTTTGGCAGCGTTGGGCTCTTGCACCACTTCTGAAGTTCATAGCAACATGAACTGCGGAAGGACGGTGCCTGCCAGACCAACTGTACAACGATTCCTTATCTTCCCTGCTTGGCTGCCTTCTGCCCTTTTGAGCTGACATTCACATGAGTCTCATGTAACACCACTGCCTGAGAATAGGGTGGAAATCATTTAGCAAGCTTACATTGCAGCACCACTGCTGACAGTCCTGGAAGGCTGAGGTGCAGCCAACTATAGGTATTTGGCTTTATTTGCTTGGGAAAAAAACCCCTACAATTTCCAACAATTCTCTTCTATCTTTCCACTTATTTTTTAACTGTTTTGACGAATTGGTCTGTCACTTGACCATTAATAGATTTAAGTCTAGTCTAATTTAACTTATTTTATTCTCAAATAGACTTTTCTAGTTGAATTACAATTGTTTGGTGAATTAACTAACCTGATCTTTGTTCCTCTAAGGATCTGGCATTAGGAGCTGCCTAATCTCTTTCAAATGGGCCTCCCTAGTGGTTCAGGGATAAAAAATACACCTGCCAATGCGGGAGATGCAGATTTGATCCCTGGGTTGGGAAGATCCCCTGGAGAAGGAAATGGCAACACACTCCAGTATGCTTGTCTGGGAAATCCCATGGACAGAGGAGCCTGGTGGGCTACAATCCATAGGGTTGCAAATGAGTCAGACACGACTTAGTGACTAGAAAACAACAGCAGCAATCTCTCTGAAGGCTAGAATACTCACTATGTGTTATGAGGATTGGAGGAAAGTAGTATAATATCCAAAATGCCATATTTACATTGAAGACATAGATCATGTAATTGTTCCCTTCCTGGACTGTAGGAATGCCTTAATAATTCCAGAAAGGGTTTCTCTTCATGGCATTCATTTTTCTTTAGTCATTTCTGAGGAAAAAATTCCTATGACTTAAATATTTTATAAGTAATTGCAGGGCAATCCTGACATAGTTAACATTCCTCCACATTGAAACAAACTCGCAGGGAAATAACTGTTTAAAAGAAATGGGGTTGATTGACTTCACTTCCCTAGAACCCATTTGCATTGAGAATTTTGACAGCAATTGGTCTGATTTAAGTGTCAGTAAAAGAAAATAGAAAAATAATTTCATTTCTGATTATAAATTATATAAATATTCCAGCAGTTTATCTGAATTAGAGTCTGTCTCTGATGTCATTTAGGTCTAATTCAACCAGATTCTCACCCTGCTTCTCTATGGCATTTGTCCACCATGGAGAGTCCTTTGAAGTCCCAGAGGCTGGACGCATAGAACTCCCTTGGCAGGAAGAGGTTTAAAAATAGAGCAAATCCCAGGTAGAAAGTCCAACAGCCGACACAGGAGGCACGGCCTCGGGTCTGCACTTCTTTCCCAGGCCTTTAGATTCTACTTACCATTAAAATGATCAAAAGGCAAATGTTCCTGAAAAGGAGCCAGTCCATTCCTCCGGGTCTTTCTTGCACGGGCAGTGAGATCTGATTTGAGTCTGGTCCTTGTCCTGAGTTCGGCTCTGGAAAATGTGCTTTGAAATGTCCTTCGAGGAGGGCCTGGGTGATGACTCTGCTGCTCTCTGAGGCAAGGGATGAAGATGATCTATAATGACTCTGTTTCCCCACCCTGAACTTCTGGGCTGGCCCGAAGGACTGGCATCGCCTGGGTTCTGGGTAACAGCATAGACACACCTTGATTCTTATTGCAATGAAACCCTTTGTTGGACACCAAAGAAAAATCCTACAGAGTGCGGACAAGATTTACAGGGAAGATACCCAGTGAATAATAAATTACTCACAACATGAAAAATAATTAAAATGCTAGGGCCTGTCATCATGCTGAATGAAATTAGTAGGCTTCTTCTTACTGCCAACATTGTAAAAGCAAAATTACATATACTCACACACACATATACATACGCACATGTTCACTACAGAGCCAACTTCAAGGATGGACACTTTGAGCAGAGGACATTGTGAAAAGGTACCAGGCCTAAGTAGGGAAACAGACAGAATAATGGAATTCTCATGTCTTAATTTTAGTGATTCTTTCCTCGCTCCTTAAAAAGTCCTGTTGTTGAGTTGCATTCTTCAATTTTAAAGATCTTCTAAAAACAAAGTTAAGACAAAGAAACTCTTGAGTTCTCTAGAATATTTGTTTGCACATTTTAGCATCTTCTTAGCATACAGTCAAATAAGTATGGTATAACATTAATTAAATTGTTCTAAGGTAACCACAGTACAGAGTATGTTTATTCCTCATGGCATTTCTGCTGATAAAAAAAAGTGCATAACATGGCTGAGGAACACCTTTTAAGTCGTCATAAAGATGTATCTAAGAATTGAAGGGGGAAAGAGCAGAGCAACATCTGGTTATTTCTGAAAATCATTTTCCCTTTTTCATTTCTTTCTTCTCCTTTCTTTGTCTGGGTTTAGAATAGGTATAGTTTTCTCATAAAAAAATTGCTGGCTGGCATCAACTTTCACAACATAAAAAGCAAATGTTAAACGTTCTCTAATTGCTAGTAGGTATTGTTGGAGAATTTTAAAGGGAGACTGTGTCTTGTCTTCAGAAACAATGCAGAAGCAGTTCCTACTCGTGGAATGTATTCCAAATAACACTTAGTTCTTTGAGAACCTTAGTTTAGCATTTTTGGAAGCATAGGATAGAATCTAGGCAGTTGGAGGGCTGGTATAGTATTCTAAAGTGAAGAGAAATGAGTGATATGTTAAAGGTATTTGTGAGACAGAGAGCAGGAAATTATACTTAAGCAACGTTAAAAAGTGAATTGTTACAAAGAGTATTTGGATGTATCTGCCTAAGCTAACCTATATATTTAGGTGTGTGTTAGTCACTTGGTCATGTCTGACTCTTTGTGACCCTGTGGACTGCAGCCCACCAGGCTCCTCTATACATGGGATTCTGCAGGCAAGAATACTGGAGTGGGTTGCCATGCCTTCTCCAGGGGATCTTCCAGACCCAGGAATCAAACTCAGGTCTGCTGCATTGCGGGCAGATTCTTTACTATCAGAGCCGCCAGGGAAGCCCCTAAACAGGGGACATCGTGGCTGCACAGGCCAGAAAATGAACCTGGACCTCCCATGTGGCAGGTGAGAATTTACCACTGAACAACCTATATCTGCCTAATTCAAGTATTTAGAAGATGACCTGATAAAGCAGGCGTGTGGATTGTGTTTTAAAATACATCTTTGAGTGGCTGTTCAGAATGTGTAAGACTAATGCACATACCTTTATGGGGTGGATATTAACCAACTGTTTAATTGTATGCTAGATTAGTCTTTAAACCAAGAATTATGGAAACCTATGCTTGAGTAAATAAACATTCAAAGCATTCTCTTGTAACATTTTTATATCCAACTGAGCTTTCATCCTTCTTCATTTGCATGAATTTTTGTCCAGAGGTTTGCAATGTGACAATTGTATCTACTATAGAAAAATTTTCTTTTATAGCTATATCAGAACAGCATTGAATTATTTTTTACTCTTTGAGATATATCCTCTCTCAATGGTGCCAGTGAGCTTGAGGCTTTTGGAATGCACAGCATTTTCCCCTCTGTTTTTCTGAGTATCAAAGGTACAAATGGTGCTTCTGCTTGAGACTATTTCTAAGAGAAAGGGTGGTGAGAGATGGTTCTCTCCAATCCAGCTTCCCAGAGACCTTTTCATTGGCTATAATTACACTATGACCTTGTTTTTATTTTTGTATGAAGGATTTGACTTAGCTTGGAATAAAGGACAGTGAGAATTTGCACTGTCAGTGAGTGGGGTTATTCCTCGGCTAACTGTGGCATTATTTCCATCCCTAGAAACATACCACCAACAGCTCTGGAGATGGTTTGTGTCTTGTGGAAATGTAATGTGCAATATTGCTTGAATTTGAATTGTAAAAACACAGGAGAAGAAAATAAAGTGTTTCAAATAAATGGAATCTCAGGCTTAAAAAATATATGACTGACACCTTCTTTCTATGTGCCACCAGTTTATCATGGCCCATATACTAATTTTTTTTTGCTGTCCGCATCAAAAGGAGAGTATGAGAGGATGGTAGAGGGTTATGGGAGTTTCACTGCTTCCAGTACCATGCTCTGGGCCAAGAGGCAGGAATAAATGTGGGAGATCTTGGATTGCAGTGGGAGTCACTTCAGAACAGTAGCAAATGGGAGAAGCCAGCAGGGATTTATGGTTCTGAAAGTTGGGTCAGTCAGAGTTTAAGAAGGAACTAAAGGATCAGGGAGAAGTCAGTGACTATCATGATGGTTTTATTTCTATAACAACTTCCAAGCAGGCTCTGCGGTAACCTCTAATGGTGTATTATACTAAGATTATCATACGAAAACTAACCATTGTTTAGCCAGTTAAAGGAATTTGTTTTATTTTAGTTAATATTGAATCATAATAATTTAATTTGCCTAAGCAAATTAATGAAACAAGTTTAGGTCCCTATGAGTTATTGTTTTTCACAAGGGGAAAATTATACTTTTCCCTTGCTGTGTCGTATGGAGATATTTTACAAAGATTTCCTTCTTTTGTTTATACCATTGATTGATTTCTTCTGAAATACAGAATTTTCTATCTGAATTGCTATTCATAGGGTGAATTTCAAAGAAAAGAAACAATAAGCAATAGAAATAAGGACTACATTGTGACTCAGACGGTAACGAATCCGCCTGCAATGTAGGAGACATGGGTTCAATCCCTGGGTTGGGAAGATCCCCTGGAGAAGAGAATAGTTACACACTCCAGTATTTTTCCTGGGAAATCCCATGGACAGAGGCGCTGGTGGGCTATAGTCCATGGAATTGCAAAGAGGTGGACGACTGAGTGACTAACACTTTTAAGCCACTTTTCAGTAATGGTAGATATGTGAATGCAAAATAGAAAAAAGTTGACAGCTGAATGTTACCTTTCTTTTTAAATGAGAGGTTTATTGAGGTATAATTCACATACTGAAAAATTTAGTCATTTCATGTGTATAAGTAAATAAATTTTTTTGTATATTTACCAATGTGTACAACTTTGACCATAGTTAGTTTTTTTTAATTGAAATTTAGTTTTAATCAGGGGTTAATTTCTTAAAATATTGTGTTGGTTTCTGCCATATATCAACATGAATCAGCCTTTCTATGTTATAGAGTTGAACAAACTATTGAGTTTACCAGTTAACTCTGTAAATGGAAATTTTCAAGTTAAGTGTGCCCTATTATTTATGTTTGAAATCAAACTGGTAGTATTTCATTTCCTCATATGAAAGTGTACATTGAATTTCAGGGGTGCTTTTGATATTTAATGTTACCTTTCTTTTTAAATGAGAGGTTTATTGAGGTATAATTCACATACTGAAAAATTTAGTCATTTCATGTGTATAAGTAAATAAATTTTTTTGTATATTTACCAATGTGTACAACTATGACCATAGTCAGTTTTTTTTTAATTGAAATTTAGTTTTAATCAGAGGTCAATTTCTTAAAATATTGTGTTGGTTTCTGCCATATATCAACATGAATCAGCCTTTCTATGTTGTAGAGTTGAACAAACTATTGAGTTTACCAGTTAACTCTGTAAATGGAAATTTTCAAGCTAAGCGTGCCCTATTATTTATGTTTGAAATCAAACTGGTAGTATTTCATTTCCTCATATGAAAGTGTACATTGAATTTCAGGGGTGCTTTTGATATTTAATTACTGTTCTTGTGCTTCTGTAATATTGTCTCTTCTTGCTTCCAAAGTCATAGTATATTTTCATCCAAATGTCATACCCTCCTAACACATGGAGAGCACTTTAATATGATTTTTAAAAATAATGCTACAGAGGACAGCTAATTCAGTACATTCCAGTACAAATTCTTTTTGGAAACAAAAAAGAAAGACATCTCTACAGGCAAAGATACTATGAAAATGATGTTAGGGCAAAGTTTTACATGAAATTACAGTTTAGGATTACTGGTGGATATGATTTAAGTATCTAAGGGAAGCTTAATTTCTTGAAAACCGGTTTTAAAGGAAAGGAAATTTAAAAAATATTTATGGTCCCAAACTATGTCAAATGCTGGAGGCAAGTAGGTTCTAGAGTTGACTCAAGCAAAAGGGTTTTCATTAGCATGGGCCTAGGGGGATGGGCAAAAGGTAAACAAAGCTGTTTTGGTTTTGACCTAGAGCAGTTACTCTGAATACATGTCTGTTCACTTTGAGATACTGGCATTGAAGATAAACAACCTGTCTCCTCATTAAAACCAGTTTATGTATGACAACCAGGGTGCTGGCAAACCAGGTTATTTAGTGGGTGTTCAACATCACGGAGTTAAACATCAGTTTCCTAAAGAGTTACGTTAGTACCATAAGGATGATGTTAGCTTACACCCTAAAATCATACTTAGCCACAGACAGAAGTGCCTTGTTGGTTCTCTGTGACTTCATGTCCTTGGTGTGGGATGTATTCCAAACAAGGGCAGAAAGAATAGCGTGGCTTCTAGCTCTGTGTTAATTATAACTTACATGCTTATTGCATGGGCTTCCCAGGTGGTGCTGGTGTAAAGAACCCACCTGCCAATGCAGGAGACA